ACAAAATTATAAACACAGAATTGGTTGGCATGCGGCAATTCTCAACAATGATCCATTAGATTGTGCAGTAATAAAATAAAAAGAAAGCATAGGTTTGATTTCAAAATGTTTTAGGTTTGTAGATTTCTAGTAAATTACCTATCCACAGTATTAACAGAACCTTCTTTGTTCCAATGTTGCTATTTTCTTTGGAAAATAGGTACAAACTCTCATGCAAACACAATTGCTTGCTCCATAATTTCCTTACGCCCAAGGTTTATCTTTAGAGCACAACATTTATATATTTAACTCCATGCAAATTAAAACTAAAAGGCTGTGTTTGCAGGACATGCCACATGTTCAAAGATAAATATGAAACATTTCTGAAAAGCATTCAAGACTCAGGAATGTATGATTTATTACAATCATAAAATGACCTTTAGTAAAAAATAATTTACATTTAAAAATAATTAAACGGTGTAATTGGATTCTAATACGAAGGATAAATGCTTGAGGTGATGAGTAACTCATTTACTCTGATGTGATTATGACATATTGTATGCCTGTATCAAAATAACCCATATATACCATGAATATATACATCTACTATGTACCCACAAAAACTTTTAAACTTCAGTAAGAATAAAAATGTAACATGGAAACAACAATATTCTTCAATTTATTTGCTGCTGAAAGCCACTGGAAAGAGACTAGAGATGTCATTCAACCATATTACCAGAGAGTACATTGTTACCATCTTTAAGGTACACCCTTGAGTAAGGTGGGATAGGTGAAAGTTGGTGGCATAATAAAACGCTTCATTCAATGCACAAAAATTTTAACACAATAACAATTTTGTTTAAAAAATTAAGTTCACACATGACCTTCAAAATTTACTGCATTTTATTACATTTATAACATAAATGTACAATTGGTAAAACAATTTGCTACTAAAATTCAGATTTTCTCTATAATGCAAAGTATTACTCTGAACACCTACTTCATGCATCACTCAGTAAGTCAACAACTAAAAGCCTCTCTGCTAAGATTTTCCTCACGCTTCTTTCATTTTTCTCCTCTTTCATGTAAGTTCATGAATAATGCCCACCTAATGCAAAGGAATTTCCCATATCTCCAATGCAGCGGCAGTTCATCACATGCATTCACATAAATGAGAATGTTGAAATAGCATAATTTTAGAGTTGAATTGCTTTTCAAAAAATTTATACTTTTAAGTGAAAAAATATACTTTGAATATAATCTCTTTAAAAACCTACTTTTCAACTTATATACAAAGAAATTTCCTGACAGGTTCAACTTCTGTTATACTTAATACTCTGATTTATTTTAAAGTCTGAAGTATTAGTTCCTTAGTTCTTTCTACTGTAAACCCTCTGATTTACATAGTCTTAATTTTAGACTAAATATTTCTTCACATTTACTGCATCTACAAATTACGTTCTAGTAGAAACTCTCTGGTCTTTTTTTTTTTTTTTTTTTTTTGAGAGTTTCACTCTTCTTACCCAGGCTGGAGTGCAATGGCATGATCTCGGCTCACGCAACCTCCACCTCCTGGGTTCAAGCGATTATCATGTCTCAGCCTCCCAAGTAGCTGGGATTACAGCCATAGACCACCACGCCCTGCTAATTTCTGTATTTTTAGTAGAGAGGGGTTTCTCCATGTTGGTCAGGCTGTCCTTGAACTCTCGACCTCAAGTGATCCACCCTCCTTGGCTCCCAAAGTATTGGGAATACAGGTATAAGCACTGTGCCTGGCCTCTGGTGTTTCTTAAGCTGCAGCTTCTGAACAGATGTTTTTCTACATTTACTACAGTTGTAGGATTTCTCTCCATTATAAATTCTCTGATGTTGAACAAAGTTTGAGCAACTGCTTCAGAGTTTTCCTCTAGTACAAAATGTATACAGTAAGTTCTGCGATACAAGTACAGGCACTAGAGGCCTCTTTATCTTTGTATTCTCTGTCTTAAGACTACTCTTCTTCACTTTAATAGCCTGTATTTTATAAAAGGTCTTTCAACAGAAATTACATAATGTTTTTATTAACTATAAATTTAGAGTAGACATTAATAGCTTTTGTATATTTTTATATTTGTACAAGTATCCTCACATATAAATACTATCATCTGCAAAGATATTAAGCATTGGTTAAAAGTTCTGCCACATTTTTTGTGTATCTAGATGTGTTCTTCAGTAGGAATTACATACACTAGGAAGTGACAAGAATTTGAAGTCTTTGTCACATTTTAAATGTTAATTTGGCTTCTCATCAATATAATTACTTATTGTTTGCAACAGATTGAGGTGTGGTTAAAAGCTTTCTCACATTTTTCATATTTGTAGAGTTTCTCTCCATCAAGAATTATCTTAAAATTAGAACGGATAGAGGAGTATTTAAAGACTGCAACCTTCATAAGACATTCCCCTGGTATGAGTTCTCTGATGTTTAAGAAGGCTGGAGTACGGCTTAAAGGCTTTGCCATATCCTTTACACTTGTATGGTTTTATCTCCAGTATGAATTTTCTTATGTGCATAAAGATTTGCAGACTGTCTAAAGGTTTTGCCACATTCTAGATTTGCAGACTGTCTAAAGGTTTGCCACATTCTTCACATGTGTAGGGTTTCTTCAGCATGAATTTGCGTACATAAAGGATTGCAGACTGCTCCAAAGGCTTTGCCACATTCTTCACATGTGTAGGGTTTTTCTCCAGTATGAATTCTCCTATGTTTAGTAAGGACTGTGGAACTATTAAAGGCTTTACCACATTCTAAACATTTAAAGGGTTTCTCACCTGTATGTATCCTCTTATGTTTATAGCCTGGAGGATGAGGTAATGACTAAGCAAACATTCCTCACATTTGTAGGGTTTCTTTCAGTGTGAATTTTCTTCTTGTTCATTCAGGTGTGAGGACTGTTTAAACACCCCCATCTTTACATTTGTAGGGTTTATCTCCAGTATGAATTTTCTTATTCATTCAGGTTTGTGACTCATCCAAAGGCTCTGCCACGATCTTCACATGTGTAGGGTTTCTCTCTGGTGTAAATTCTCTTACGTGCAGCAAGGTTTCTTGACCTACTAAAGGCTTTGTCACCCTCTTCACATTTGTAAGGTTTCTCTCCAGTATGAATTTTCTTGTGTCGATTCAGGGCTGTGGACTGGCCCAAAGGCTTTGCCACACTCTTCACATTTGTAATGTTTCTCTCCAGTAAGAATTTTCTTGTGTTGATTCAGGTCTGTTGATGGGGCAACAGGCTTTGCCACACTTCTTCACATTTGTAAGAGATTTTCCCCAGTATAAGTTTTCTTGTGTTGATTCAGGTCTGTGTGCCATGCAAAGTGTTTGCCACACTCTTCACATTTGTAAGGTTTCTCTCAGCATGAATGTTCTTGCAGGTCGATTCAGGTCTGTGTAGCGTCTGTTATTTTGCCACACTCACATTTGTGTTGCCTTCCAGTATGAATTTCTCCTATGTGCATAAAGGTTTGCAGACTGTCTAAAGGTTTTGCCGCATTCTTCACATGTGTAGGGTTTCTCTCCAGTATGAATTCTCCTATGTACATAAAGGATTGCAGACTGTCTAAAGGCTTTGCCACATTCTTCACATGTGGGTTTCTCCAGTATGAATTCTCCTATGTTTAGTAAGGACTGTGGAACTATTAAAGCTTTACACATTCTAAACATTTAAAGGGTTTCTCACCTGTATGTATCCTCTTATGTTTAGCAAAGCTTGAGGATGAGGTAATGACTTTGCCACATTCCTCACATTTGTAGGCTTCTTCCAGAATTTTCTGTCTATTCAGGTGTGAGGACTATTAAACACTTTCCCCGTTTCCCCTTACATTTGTAGGGTTTATCTCCATGTATGAATTTTCTTACATTCATTCAGGGTTTGTAGACTACATCTAAGGCTCTACACGATCTTCATGTGTAGGGTTTGTTTCCGGTGTAAATTCTCTTATGTGCAGCAAGGCTTCTTGACTCTACTAAAGGCTGCATACTCTCTTCACATTTGTAAGGTTTCTCTCCAGTATGAATTTTCTTTGTGTTGATTCAGGGCTGTGGATCATCTAAAGGCTTTGCTACACTCTTCACATTTATAACTTTTCTCTCCAGTAAGAATTTTCTTGTGTTGATTCAGGGTCTGTTGATGGGGCATAGGCTTTGGCTGTTAATTTCTTCACATTTGGGAAGGTTTCTCCCCAGTATAAGTTTTCTTGTGTTGATTCAGGTCTGTGGCACACAAAATGTTTGCCAAGACGCTTCACATTTGTAAGGTTTCTTCGAGTATGAATGTTCTTATGTTTCCATTCAGGTCTGTGTAGCGTCCAAAGGCTTTGCCACACTCTTCACATTTGTAAGGTTTCTCCAGTATGGCAAATTCTCCTATGTGCATAAAGATTTGCAGACTGTCTAAAGGTTTTGCCACATTCTTCACATGTGTAGGGTTTCTCTCCAGTATGAATTCTCCTAAGGTACATAAAGGATTGAGATCAGTTCAAAGGCTTCATGCATTCTTCACATGTAGGGTTTCTTCCAGTATGAATTCTCCTATGTTTAGGTATGACTGTGGAATGATTAAGCTTGCCTGTATTTTTAAAATATTTAAAGGGTCTTGCCTAGGTAATCTCTCTATGTTAGTAAATGAGGATAAAAAATGACTTGCATTCTTGATATTTATAATTCTTCAGTGTAATTTCAGATTATCCATCTTAGGAGGAGGACTGTTTTAAACACTTTCCCACATTCTTTATGATTTGTAGGGTTTATCTCCAGTGTGAATTTCTTATACTCATTCAGGCTTGTGGACCATCCAAAGGCTCTTGCCACGATCTTCACATGTGTAGGGTTTGTTCCAGTGTAAATTCTCTTATGTGCAGCAAGGCTTGATCTACTAAAGGCTTTGCCACTCTCTTCACATTTGTAAGGTTTCTCTCCAGTATGAATTTTCTTGTGTTGATTCAGGTCTGTGTGTGCTATGCAAAGTGTTTTGCTACACGCTTCACATTTGTAAAGGTTTCTCTCGAATATGAATGTACCTATGTCGATCCAGCCCTGTGTACTGTCCAAAGGCTTTGCCATTACCTTCACATTTGTAAGGTTTCTCTCTAGTATGAATTCTCCTATGTGCATAAAGGTTTGCAGACTGTCTAAAGGTTTTGCCGCATTCTTCACATGTGTAGGGTTTCTCTCCAGTATGAATTTCTATGTACATAAAGGATTGCAGACTGTCTAAAGGCTCTGCCGTGATTCTTCTAAGCATGTGTAGGGTTTCCTCTTCCAGTATGAATTCTCCTATGTTTAGTAAGGACTGTGGAACGATTAAAGGCTTTACCACATTCTAAACATTTAAAGGGTTTCTCACCTGTATGAATCCTCTTATGTTGAGCAAAGCTTGAGGATGAGGTAATGACTTTGCCAAGCATTCCTCACATGACAGGTTTTCTAGTATGAATTTTCTCATGTGTATTCAGGTGTGAGGACTGTTTAAACACTTTCCACATTCTTTATATTTATAGGTTTATTCTGTGCATGAATTTTTATATTCATTCAGGTTTGTGGACCATCCAAAGGCTCTGCCACGATCTTCACATGTGTAGGGTTTCTCTCTGGTGTAAATTCTCTTATGTGCAGCAAGGTTTTCTTGATCTACTAAAGGCTTTGGCTACCTTTCACATTTGCACGATTTCTCTCCAATATGAATTTTCTTGTGTTTCCGATTCAGGGCTGTGGACTGGCCCAAAGGCTTTGCCACACTTTTCACATTTGTAACTTTTCTCTCCAAGAATTTTTCTTGTGTTGATTCAGGTCTGTTGGTGGGGCATAGGCTTTGCCACACTCTTCACATTTGGAAGGTTTCTCCCCAGTATAAGTTTTCTTGTGTTGATTCAGGTCTGTGTGCTATAAAAGTGTTTGCATACACTCTTCACATTTGTAAGGTTTCTCTCGAGTATGAATGTTCTTATGTCGATTCAGGTCTGTGTACTGTCCAAAGGCTTTACACACTCTTCACATTTGAAGGTTTCTCTCCAAAAAAAGGAATTCTCCTATGCATAAAGATTTGCAGACTGTCTAAAAGGTTTTGCGCATTCTTCACATGTGTAGGGTTTCTCTCCAGTATGAATTCTCCTATGTACATAAAGGATTGCAGACTGTCTAAAGGCTTTGCCGCATTCTTCACATGTGTAGGGTTTTTCTCCAGTATGAATTCTCCTATGTTTAGTAAGGATTGTGGAACGATTAAAGGCTTTACCACATTCTAAACATTTAAAGGGTTTCTCACCTGTATGAATCCTCTTATGTTGAGCAAAGCTTGAGGATGAGGTAATGACTTTGCCACATTCCTTACATTTGACGGGTTTCTTTCTAGTATGAATTTTCTCATGTGTATTCAGGTGTGAGGAATGTTTAAACACTTTCCCACATTCTTTATATTTGTAGGGTTTATCTCCAGTATGAATTTTCTTATATTCATTCAGGTTTGTGGACCATCCAAAGTCTCTGCCACGATCTTCGTATGTGTAGGGTTTGTCTCCGGTGTAAATTCTCTTATGTGCAGCAAGGTTTCTTGACCTACTAAAGGCTTTGCCACTCTCTTCACATTTGTAAGGTTTCTCTCCAGTATGAATTTTCTTGTGTTGATTCAGGGCTGTGGACCGTCCAAAGGCTTTGCCACAGTCTTCACATTTGTAAGGTTTCTCTCCAGTATGAATTTTCTTGTGTTGATTCAGGGCTATAGACCATCCAAAGTCTTTGCCACATTCTTCACATGTGTAGGGTTTCTCTCCAGCATGAATTCCTTTATGTTGAGTTATGTCTGAGAACTTCTGAAATGACTTGTCGTATTGGTTACATTTAAAGTGTTTCTCTCCAGTATGTCTTGTCTTGTCTTTGTTTGAATTTGCAAATTTACTAAAAACTTTGACACCTACATTACATTGAAATATTTTGCTCTGGGTATTTGGCAAGCATTGATTAATTCCATTATAACCTCCTTTCTGCACTTTACACACATTCATACTTTTACAGCCTTTCCTTAATTGTAAATTCTCATGCCCACATTTCTCATATCTTCTCAGTATACATTTGTGGAATGAATCTTCTATCCCCTGCACTGGCAAAAAGTCTTGGGTGAAATGAGAACACATAGCTGAAAGAAATAAAAAATAACAAATTATCCCAGTTACTAGATTCATATGAATATACTTTACAAATCTTATAAAATTATACAAAGTACGCTAGTAAGATGGCATAATAAAAATACCACAAGTCATAACTTCTTCACAGACATATACACGTAACAAACATATAGTGATCAAAATGCCTTTGTGTGAAATCTATAAATGTGTTAATTGTATGCAATGCCTCAGGTAAGCACAATGCCAAGAGCCACATAGAACAGGAAAGAATGTTTGCTACATTTACCTACCAACAGCTCTTCCTCCTCCCCAATATAGCACTATGCCATTAGGAGAAAACTCTCAACTGTCTTTTTCCTTAAAAGCGAAAAAAAATACTAACACACATATCCTTACTTCTGCCTTTTGGGGTCTTTACAAAAACTGATTTCTGCCTCCCATAAAACAGTGCTAAAAGAAATGGTGATACTTTGGAAGAACAACTTGGGTATGTGAAGACAAATTACAAATATTTCAAGAGCAGACTGAAGTGCTAAATACAGGCAACAGGTAGAGCAAGTGATTAGCGACTTTTTTTTTTTTTTTAAATGGAGTCTCACTCTGTCACCCAGGCTGGAGTGCACTGGCAGGATCTTGGCTCACTGCAAGCTCCACCTCCTGGGTTCACGCCATTCTCCTGCCTCAGCCTCCCCAGTAGCTGGGACTACAGGCGCCTGCCAGCACGCCTGGCTAATTTTTGTGTTTTTAGTAGAGACGGCGTTTCACTGTGTTAGCCAGGCTGGTCTCGATCTCCTGACCTCATGATCTGCCTGCCTGAGCCTCCCAAAGTGCTGGGATTACAGGCGTGAGCCACCATGTCTGGCCAATTAGAGACTTTTAAGACGAAACATGAAGAAACCCTTTTAACTAAAAAATAAACACGAAATTCCAGACAAGAGACATGCTTCCAACATGTATGACAGGTTCCCATAATCTCTATCAAAGATAATTGGCTTCAGACTACGTCATGACAAACAAACATAATAAACGTTGTGACAAACAGCTTTTTGTTAATGCTCAAATAACCAGCAAATATTACAGTGTATACAAAATAATTTTAAATTTTTCAGAGAACCATAAAAAACAAAGATGTACAAATTTTTTAAATGTAATCTGAATAATGCTGAATCAGTTAACTGAAAACACATACAACTAAATGTAATCAGAAAAATTAGAACATCAATGAAAACATTAAAAACAAAAAAAAATCATGGAGGTGACAAATACGAAATGACTCAGAAATTTTCAAAACTTAAAAAAAGGATGTAATAAATGAAGCAGCTCAACAAACTTCAACTAGGATACACACACATAGATTTATGGCAAGGCGCATATATAAGCAAAGTTTCAAAAATCAAACACAAGAAGGGCGTCTCAGGAACTGCAAAATAAAAGTGATGTGTCATTTATAAGTGTGGTCTTATAAGATTACCAGTGAATCTGTCAACAAAAGTATTTCACACCAGAAGGAATTGCAATATAACTAAGGTGCTGGAGAAAAAAAAAAAAATTATACATGGGAATATAACCAGCAAAACTGTCTCAAAACTGAAGAAAAAGTAAAGACCTTTCAAGATAAGCAAACGCTGAAAAAGTATATTAGCACACACCTGTCTTACCAAAAAAATACTGAAGTGTCTTCCAGTGAAAATAACATAATGCAAGAAAACCAAATATAATCATATGAAAATACATAACTTTCTGAAAAAGATATGCACATACACAAAATTCTGTACCACTATCATAATAGTGCAGAAAACATTTTAATTATTCTCTAAAATTTGAAAGTTAAAAGCATAAAAATGATCATAAAGTGTTGATGATTATCCGGTAATAATATACAACATAAAAAATGATTACTGACATCAGTAACGAACTTGAGGACAGATGTAATGAGGAAGTTTTCTTTTCTTCCTGTCTCACTCTGTCACCCAGACTGGAGTGCAGTGGTGTGATCTTGGCTCACAGCAACCTCTGCCTGCCCAGTTCAGGCGATTCTCCTGCCTCACCCTCCTAGGACTACAGGTACACACCACCATGCCCTTCTAATTTTTTGTATTTTTAATAGAGACGGGGTTTCACCATGCTGGCCAGGCTGGTCTCAAACTCCTAACCTCATGATGTGCCTGCCTCGGCCTCCCAAAGTGCTGGGATTACAGGCATGAGCGACGCACCCAGCCCTTTTTTTTTTTTTTCTTGAGACAGAGTCTCACTCTGTTGCCAGGCTGGAGTGCAGCCGTGCAATCTGGGCTCACTGCGACTTCCACCTCCTAGGTTCAAGCAATTCTCCTGCCTTAGCCTCCCAAGTAGCTGGGACTACAGGCGCGGGGCACCACAGGCAGCTAATTTTTGTATATCTGCTGAAGATGGGGTTTCAACATGTTGACCAGGATGGTCTCGATCTCTTTTCATGAACTGCCTGCCTCGGCCTCTCAAATTGCTGGGATTACACGTGTGAGCGCCCAGCCAAGGAAGAATTTTCAAATGCAACTCAGGTTTTTACCAGTTTTAAATATATCATTTTGCCGGGCACGGTGGCTCACTTCTGTAATCCCAGCACTCTGGGAGGCCAAGGAGGGTGGATCACGAGGTCACAAGATCGAGACCATCCTGGCTAACACGGTGAAACCCCCTCTCTATTAAAATACAAAAAACTTTAGCCGGGCATGGTGGCAGGCGCCTGTAGTCCCAGCTACTCGAGATGCTGAGGCAGAATGGCGAGAACCCGGAAGGTGGAGCTTGCAGTGAGCCCAGATTGCGCCACTGCACTTCAGCCTGGGCCACTGAAGGCGGCGCCGTCTCAAAAAAATAAAATAAGATAAAACAAAAATATATTATTTTAAGAAATTTTATGTACTTCCCAAGATACCAGAAAAACGTATCTCTATAGATACACCAAAGAAGAAGAAGATAGGAAAAGAAAATAAGGGGCAAAAATGAAATAATCCAGCAAAACGATAAAACTTATGAAGTAAAGGTTTCCATTCAAAATACATTCACCAAATAAAGGGATTGATTACAAAACTTAACATGATCCAGCTTGCTTTTCTACAGGAGTCACTTGAGATGTAATGATTAAAAAAGACTGAAAAGGGCAAAATGAAAGAAGACATTTCATGCAAATAACCAAATAAGAGGTCCAAATTATACAACACAAAGTACATCTTAAGTCAAAACTGTCCTATTTCATAAAATATACTTTAACTAAAAGTTCGTAAGAAAGAAGGACGTTAATAATAAAGTTCCTTTACTGGGAACTCATGACAGATGTGTGTATACATATGTTAATGTGTCTGTGTGTTTATGTGTGTCCCACACTGAGTTCCAAATATACAAAACCAATACTGACAGAACTAAAGCAAGACAAAAAAAGCCGTATCATTATACTAGGATATTTAAATACCTCAATTTCTGTAAAGAATAATGAAACAAGATAAAATATAACAGGAGACTTGAAAGCAGTATTAAACAATTATGCCTAACAGAATTGTAGAGAACATTGCTCAACAACGAGAGAATACACACCTTCCTCAATAGCTCATACAATATTCTCCAGGATAAACGACATATTAGGACACAAAAAAAAGTCTTAGCAGAAGTTTTTAAAATTGAAATTTTACAGATTACTTTTAATGACCAAACTGGAATGAGAGTAGAAATTAATAAAAGAAAGAAAACTATAAACCCTGTCTCCACTAAAACTACAAAAAATTAGCCAGGCATGGTGGCAGGCTACTGTAGTCCCAGCTACTGGACAGGTTGAGGGAGGAGGATGGCGTGAACCCAGGAGGTGGAGCTTGTAGTAAGCTGAGAGTGCGCCACTGCACTCCAGCCTGGGCGACAGAGCAAGACTTTGTATCCCCGCCCCCCCCCCCCCAAAAAAAAAAATTTACATACTTATAGAAATTAAACACCACAAACTAAAGATTGAAATAATAAAGATGTCTAGACTGCTCAATGTAATCTACAGATTAAATGCAGTCCCTGTCAAATTTGTAATTAAATTATTGTAGTAATAGAAACAGCAACCCCCATATTATATGAAATTAAGAAACAGTGAAGTACCCAACAGTTGTCAAAAAGAGAAGCAATCTCAGGCTTCACAGCTCCTGATTTCAAAACACATGAAAAGCTAAAGAATTAAAACAATTTGGGATGGGTATAAAGCTGAACAGCTGGATCAATAAAATAAAATCTAGCAAAAATATAAATACACAGTCACATGAAGAATAATTTAGACATTCATAATTATTGCAGCATTGTTACTGAAAGCAAATAAATGCAACACAGATTTATCTCACCAAACTGATAAATTAGAAATATCAAAATTATGAAATATTACTGTTTATAAAAAGCAAAAATTAAAGATAAATCTTGATGACACTAATATAAAATAAGTCACAAAGAGACAGAAACTGTATAAATCAACTTACATCAGATATCTAAAGCAGTTTGACTTTAAAACAACAGAATTGTGTTTGTAAAGGGCCAGAAAATAGAAAAAGTAGGTAGTTGTTTAATGTGTATTGAGTGTTAGCTTTGCAAGATAAACATATTCTAAAGATAGAGTGCATAACAATGTTAATATGACTAAGCTGAATATTTAACAAATATATGATTGTAAAGTTTATGCATTTTTGAAAACAAAAATAATATCTAAGAGAGGTATGACACTTTTGGAAATTATCTTCAAATCACAAAAGTGTTTCTCACACACACACAAAAATACAGATTTACAAACAAATAGAGGGTAAAATTAGGAGAATTTCAATGACTACTCACCTAGGCAGGGTAAAATCACCATAGTATACACAAATAAAACAAGTATACAACTTACAAACAATAGGGAAAGAGTATGCAGACAGATAAACACAGAGACTCTTAAAGTAGACAGTGTACACAGCTGAGTGCTTTCATACACAATAACAACATTAAATAAAAACATCCTTCTCATGTTCCAGATCTCAGACAA